TGAAATGACGGCTTTAGGGTGGGGAGGCTCGAAGAAAATTCTGACCGACGAGATCCTCATTCATGGCAGAGTTTGGGTCCATGGGCAGGAGATAAAGCTTGCAGCGCCTGGACTTCCGGTGCTGCTCGGAGATATGGAGAAGGACAGCAGTGGCCGCTTCGTCGTTTGCTGGAGGCCTGTGAATGGGATACTGAAAGCAACTGGGGCATCAGAACATTAGGGAAGTAACGAGCTATTGCCCCTGTAGTGTGAAGCTCTTGCATGGCTCTACATGTCAGCTTTCACCTATACATCCTTGGAGGCAGTTGTATGAGAGGATTGTAGCATCGTAGCGTGAACGGCGGTCAAAGAGGGTTTGCTACTTAACATGCAGTGTAACTTGTCTGAGATAGAAACCAGCTGAAGCATGCATGAGGAAGCAATCAGCATCAATGTCACAGAGCATGCTTGTGCAGGTGCGTTGGTGAAGATCTCAAAGGCCCGCGCTTGAGGGCTCAGGGGGTGTATCTGATGCGAATCGTTCAGTCTTGCAGGGTGCATGGGCCTCTTGATTTGGGGGTTTCTGTTCAAAGAAATAAACCCATGTCCAAACTATATCAATATGGATATATATATATACATATATGATGTATATAAGTATAAATAAGCATATATGTTTTATAGAACTGCCCAAACTGTTGATAAAGTGTCCAAAACCGTTCAGAACCACTCTGAGCCATTTATCAGCGCGGCACGAACGCGCAGAAGACCCATGTGAATCAGTTCATGACTAGACCGGCCCCTTTGAGGCAGTGCCAGGATTGGTTGGCATCTGTAACAAGCTCCGTCTGGTATTCAGAACTTGCTTAGTACACATTGCACGAGAAAAGTAATCTTCTGAATGCTGCTCACGCAAATAGGAAGAGTTTGTGAGCGAAGACCTTGATTTCGGCAATCATAACTTCTACAGTAGAAGCGTCGTCTTGTTTCAAAACCTTTTCAGAAGTCCTCAAGAAATGCAGGCCTCAACGAGATCCTCCTTGGCAACGAGTGGCTGACATGGCGGAAGAACTACAAGCAGTGGCGGGGAGGCTCTGGGCTGTACAGCAGCCATTCCCACAACTGAAGGGCAGTTCTTTGGATGTGGATGTGAGCATTTGTCAGTCAAGGACTGTCCCGGGTTTTACCGAAGAACAGCTCTGATATGCTCTTTGCACTCTCAATGAATCAGTTTTGGAACTTCAGAAATTCAGAATTGCTCCCTCTGACACAGTAGTTTGCAGCCCCATGCGACCCCAGAATGCCGAGTTCATTTTGGAGGCGTTGTTCTGGTTGGGGTCAAGGGTTGAGGGCTGGTTGCTACAGTCTTGGGATTGGCAGAACGATTTCAGGGATGTTAGGTTTACAAATGATGGAGATGAACATGAGTCGCTCATTATTTCGGATTCGTTGCGACTTTTTCCAGCTCATGTTTGGGGCTCGTAGAGCTTGCTACTGGATTATCTTCATGTGAGCCATTGTCTAAACTCGTAGTATCCCCCTTAATAACCTCGAAAATAGTTCCATATAGATTCCCCTATATAACCACCATTAAGGAGTTTAGACTATAGCTCATGTAAGGGTTAGGGTTCAGCACGTAGGACTGAAGGAACGGGGTCTCGGGGATTTTCTAAGGGTCGATTCCAAAGGGGCTCCTTCCAGCTAATCAAGGACGAATTGGGGTTATATTATATTGGGGATGATGGAAAAGAAAATGGAAACTACTATAATATATTGGGGTTATATTGTGGATAAAGTACTGTTGATGTTTAACCACATTGTGGTTACAACCTTTGTTGACTCCTTTGTCTACCGCAGCCAGATAGGACCGACCTCGGTCAAGAACCTCCTGTATAATTGATTTTTCATCCCTTTTGCATTTGATGCTCCATCATTCGGGTGACATCCCAAAACCCCATATGGTACTTTCCCAAAGTAGGGGGACCCTAATACAGACTCCCATATATTATATTCCTTGCTATATTCCTTTTTATGGAGACCCCAAAATGGTACAGTACCCATCATTTTGGGAAACCCCTATGCCCTCCAATCCCCCTACACCCTAAACCCGAAACCCTACATCAATACTTTAACCCGGCGCATGGCCTGAGGCGGTGCAGCCGGGGCTCGCGGGGAGGCCACGATGAAGGCCTCAGGGCTTGGCTGGGACGGGAGTTTATAGGGGGGCTATATAGGGGATAACGGAAAAGAACATGGAAACTACAATTTAGGGTCTAGGGTTCAGGGTTTAGGGTTGAGGGATTACACAAATCGTCTAGGGTTCAGGTAGTTTGGACCGAATTTTGACGAAGTGTTTGTCTTGCTTTTTGCCCTATGCAGTTTGTATTCATCATATGTAGTATTAGGAGACTGGGCTGGGGTCATTTTTAGGCGGAGGGGATTATCATTGGAGGGGCAGGGGACCTGGGAAGTAGGTCAATGATGGGACTAACTGGGATTATTATTTGGCTTATAGGGATCATAAGTAGACTAACTACAAACGTACTAAGTCCCCCCGACAGGCCCAAGTTCGCGTGTAGAATGTAGATTTGCAGGGCTAAGACGTATGCCGTGTCCATTTCTGATCTTCATGCTTTTGAATCTAGAGCCTAGAGCATGACAACAAATCGCCTTACAACCATCCAGTGGTTGCGTATGGTGACGGTTAGGAACCTTATGTTGTCTCCGTTGGGCATACTCGTAAGCAGGTGCATCTCAATCTGAGGAGTGCTTCATGATTCTAGTGATGGATGAGGCGAAGATCAAAGGGCCCGGCAGCGCACGCATTTAGAGCAGCTCAAGAACTTGACTCCGAACAGAAGGTGTTGTGATGGATGCAATGAAGAAAGCCATTTTTGACGTAGACATGACCTTGAGGAGAGCAGTGGGTCTGTCGGCAAGGCCCTGGTACTGCGGTTACCATATGTTCTTACAGTCATGATAGGCCTTCTTGGGATTCTTATTGACATCATGTGATGAAGTCACCAGCATGTTTTTGCCAGGCAGCCAAGCGCCGAGCGCATGAAGCGGCTGAACCTGAGATCTCCAGGTCGACGAGGGCTTGCGGAGGGCTTGTTCTTATTCTGGTGGCCATGTCTGCTGCCACCTTTTCTCTTGAGTCCTGGCTCCTCTCATCCTAAGTCAGGCGTACGAATTCATTCCCAACATGTTTCCTGTTGCTACACTGTTGCTTTGATGATTATGGGTTGTAGTCTTTCATTTTGACACAACTGTGGTTGGTCACTGTGGATAAATGATGTTGATAGTCAGCGAGTTCAGGGATTTTCATGTTGGGTCACTCTGGGGATTGGCACCAGAGCTGCTTTTCCGTGGATCGTAAGATGAAAACATGTCATCCACGATGCTGCAGTACTTGGGTTCCTCCAACTTATTGTCAGCTGGTCTTTTTAAATCAATAGCCTAGCATTTGGGCGCTTCACTAGTCCAAGGCCTCAATCTCTAAACCCTATGCATCTTGGGATCTCCCATATAATGACAGCGCATGTTTCTCAAGACCATATAGCCTCTGTGTACTTCCGGAGCGATAGTTAGCTGCTAGGCTCCTCACAAGAGGTTCCCCAGAGAAGGCATCCATAATCTTGAGAAACCTCTCTAGAGTCCCTGCAGGCAGGCTTCTTTGTGGGATCTGTGTGATCCCGATGAGTCGCTGCATTCTGTTCCTGCGTGTTTCCAAGAAATGGACCCCTAACCCTAAACAGTAGATTCCATTTGCTTTTGCATTATCCCTAGATACCTTCATATAAACCCTATATAACCCCTGTATAACCCCTACATAAGCCGATTCGCTCCATCTTATGCTGCAGGCGCTGCACGTGGCCTCAGTTGGACGAAGTGCAAGACACAGGTGGGGCTCGCACGCCACAACACAGCAAATGACATATGATTACCTTTAGCAGTTGTAGTGGCTTCTGGTTGAGGTGGGGCAGCATCCAAGGCAGACTGCTTCATGCATAGTTGGGCAGGCATACTTGTGGCAGTCATCACGTACGCCCTTCGAACCATCCCGATAAATCAATCCATCATTCTGCGGAGGATAGCAAGGCATTTGGTTGCTATCGATGCGGCTTGCAGGTGAGGATGTGTGGGATGAAGATTTCATCTTCTCAACGGAGGACAGACGTGCTGTACAAGTTTATGTGCAAGTGAAACTCGATGCTTGTAGGAGATTGTGCTCTCGCGGCTGTTTGAGTGGTGCGAGCTGGCAGTCACGCAGCAAGCCTACGAATGGCTGGCAGCACAGTGGCTCGGCCAATATTCAGATGCCCTGTGCTATGATCAACCGTTCCAGTTCAACTTGCATTATGCCTGCGTTTGGCTAGCCTTTTGTACGACCTAGTTGCTTCCAATTCGCATCAGTTGCAAAGTGTTTTGGAACACTTCTTATCTGAGGTTTGCGCCTTTACGAGCATTTCTCTCCGTCCCGAGGAGGATAAAGATAGATTCGGCCGGTGGAACCCCTGGCCGGAGGAATCCTTTACGATACTCTGGATTCGCATGATCACCCATAGTGCTTCTGATGTAGTAGTGGGCATGCTTGCATGAACAGTTGTCTTGCGTTGTGCTGGGGCAAGGCAGTGTTCGCCGGACCTGCGCCGGGTTTTGCTTGGCTCGCGCCTGTCCTCGCTCAAGAAGGGCACCTTGGCGAGAGTAAGTTGATTTGTCCTCGCCATTCGGGCAAACGGCTGTTTCTGGAATTCTTCTATATAACTTCCTTCATAAAAACAATTCAAAAACAATCGAAATCTCAGAAATCAAGGGGACCCCTAATCGTTGAGACTCGTGCACAAACACCCCCCTAATTCAGAGCATCCGAGCCGCAATTGACTTTAGTCTTGCCCTTTACAAAAAATTCTCGGGGTAGATTTCAGGATTTGGAATTTTGGCGAACCCGTATTTAATTAGGGGTGGGTTTAATGTAATACTAGGGGGAAGCGATTAGGGACCATTACCTGTAAAGTCGTAAGGGTCTTCTGTGTTGAGCTACTCCCATGTGCATACTTTGCCTGGGCCAGATCTGCTCACTTGAGGCAGAGTCCTCGGCAGCGGCAAAGGCCGGATCAAGAAAGTTGTAAATCCACTTGTATGAGCAATCAGTCTTTGATAGTCTGACAGCGAGCGCATGCGGGAAGGGCACACGTCTCTACTTTGGGAGCTGCTCACCTCCATCCGCATCTTTGCCCGCATGACGCCCAATGGAAAGATCAGCGTGGCGTGCCCAGCAACCAGCCTTTTGCAGGAAGATAAGAGACGACTCTTATAATGTGATACTGCCATTCTTCAGTCTCTGAAGGCTGTCACACATGTTTTTTGTGTGCGCTGGGTTTCTTCATGCGCTTCATCCCTATGATGAATAAGCTTGTTTCACAGTCAGAGAAGGCTAATGGCTAATGCAGTCTTTCCATGATTTTTCATCGTGTCTGCCCAACTAAACTGTATTCGAAACCGTCAGAAAATCTCAGAGCCTCAATCATTTGAAATCTAGCAGCTGCCGGTGGCATGCTTAGACGCTTCCAGCCTGCCAAGGTTGTGGAGAATTTCATGTCCCAGGGCCTGATCTGCGACTTCGGACGCAATCAGCAAGACTCTGTCTTCCTGTAATCTTTTCAGGAGGAAGGACTGGGGATTGCTTGAGCCATAGTCTAAACTCCTTAACAAGGGTCATATACGGGATTGTGTAAGGGACAACTACAGGGGTTTTTAATGGGGATACTTGATAGTCCCCATTAAATAGAGAAAAAATGGCTTTTGGTATATTATAATAGGATCCACATGTTTGGCAGGTGCAATGGTTGGCGATGGTGGCAATGACTCGGGCGCCCTCCGGACGGCGCACGTCGGGTTCCTTGGTAGGGTCCACCAGTGCCATGACTCCTGATGTTAGATATTCCCGTTTCGATATGATATCAATTTAGTAGTCCATATCTAACCCATCATCATAGTAGTTTCCATTTTCTTTTCCATGATCCCTATATAGTCGTTTTGATGGTGTATTCCTTGTTGGCACGGTAGGCTGAATAATGCGCATACCAAGCACCAGGAGCTGAACCCAAAGCCAGCACTCGGCACCTGACACCCCATCACCCATCCACACATCCCGATTTACTCGGCACATGATTGCCCATCACCCACAGTTCTAGATCTTCCAAACTTTTGCCTTGAAATCCTCAACCCTAAGCTTTCGGGCCTTGGGCAAGCCGTCACCTTCAAGAACCCTGCAAGGATGGCTCTGAGCTCTGCGACCTCGGCTACTGTGGTGGCACCCTTCACCACCTGCCGTCCCAGTGTGGCACCCATTGCGGATTTGCTTCGTGAGGGCCGAGGCGAGATGCGAATAATGTAGCAGCAAGATTGGCACATGTGCGGCTAGAAGTACCGCGAGGCACTAGCAGGAAGTGATAGCAGTAGTCGTAGAGCCTGGTCAGTTTGGGAGCTTGCCAGAGCAGCAGATTAGCATTTTGGTGATGATCTCCGTCAGATCCAAATGTGTCACATGGTTTGCCAGGTGCGCTGGCAACATCCTTCGCTGGGTACAAATATTGTCGCTTGGACTTGTGGTGTTGCTGCTTAGCTTTTTCGTTTATGGATTCTTCGTGAGTTTCCAGTCAGCCAAGGTGTTCACTATGGCCTTCTGAACTCGGTGCTGAAGTTCAAGACCTACTGGCACGGTCGCTGGGCAGTGAACATTAGACTAGTAAATGCAAGCCTCAAAAACAGTTCCAGGCATTCTTGAGTGCTACTGTACATAGTGGCAGTACAGTGGTTGATTGTGAAGAGACAGAGATGCTTGTGAACTTCGCTTTGGGTGCTAAGGTTCAATCTAGAGTCCCCCTTAAGTAGATAGAATATTGGGTATACTGGATCTTCTTATAATATACCCAAAGCCATATTCTATCTACCTAAGGGGGACTATACCCCAAACCCTAAACCCTAAATGGTAGTTTCCCTTTTCTTTTCCATTACCCCAACATAACCACCAGATTCTATCTACTTAAGGGGGACTGTAGGCCCAGCCTTGGGGATGAGGGTCCATCCTGACTGTGTCATCACAGTGGCCAGAACGCGGAGCATGCGGAGTAGCATCAGCATGGGGATGGATATTGTAATGTTGTTCCTTAAATCCCTACATTCCCCAAGTTGCCATTTTATTTTACATATTCTTTTCCATTTGATTCTCCATTAGTAGGATAATATCTCTGAGCCCAGGCATCTCTCAGTCCATGATGGCAGCATACTTCCAGGCAGCTCTGTGGAAAAGCATCAGAGACAGTGATGCTATGGTACACAGAACAGATTAGTAGGTCCAGAGTCGAGATCACTTCCTGTGACTACGTAGTGTTCGAACTTGTTGTCGCTGCGATATGGTGAGTTGTGGCGATCATGCTGATGATAATGATCTGGATTTTGCTGACATGTATGATTGTTGCAAGCACTTTACATTGCGCTGCCCATCCTGCGAAGCAGTTCCCTTAGCACCATCACGGAATCAGCTACTGACAAAGGCCTCTGCGTTGCCCGACACGGGACCGCTCACCCTGAACCCCCCCCACCTAATCCTGGTTGAGCACCAGGACATGATCGGCTTCCTGAGCCTTTCATGGGCAATGAGCCTTGCAAGGCAGGTGCCCGGTGAGCTGTGGTTCATTTTTGAGATTATGGCTCAGAGGTGAAAGGAAATTACGTGGAGATTGCCACTTCCTGGATCTTCCTGGTCATTGCATGTCTCGCGCAACCTTCGTCAGTCCGAGAGCCAGTTTCGCGTTCATGAATAGTGGTCTGAGCTTTAAGATTTTAGATCGGGCGTATTTTGGCAAAGGACATCTGTCAGACGCCTTCAGATCTAAATCCTGAACGCCTATCAAGCAGGCCTGAAACTCATTGAATTGAGGCCAAACATGTGTACCATGAGCATGGTAGTCACCATCAGAACCTTAGTCATCATGAGAACATGCTCGTGAGGACAACAGCTATGCCAAGTACACCACTGATAATGTCAGCCTTGCATAGCAGTTCCTATACCATCCTCATTCTGAGCCCTAGACCCCTTTTCACCCGTACATCCGTACAGTCCCAATGGCCCAGATCTACCAAAGAACAGGGCTCATGAGCATCCCTACATCTGCGCCCTAAGCCTTTGTCTTACTGGTGGTTAGTATGGAGTGACACTGAGGGAGTATTTTCCCTGTGAAGCCCTACTAGCTAGTAAGTTTTTGAGGCCTGCGCCTGTCCTGGCCACTAGCCGGCCCACCTCCTCGCTCTTCTCGGGCTTTACGGCCAGGGGGGAAGAGAAGAATTGAGGTTCAGGGTCTGGGGTTTAGGATCAGGGTTTGTGCATAGGTCCTTTGATGGACCGCATAGGGGTCAAGGGGCAGCAGATTCTACCCTTAACAATACTGGCCCCACATATGGTGGTTGAAGGGTGGGGTCGTTGCAAAGCCTACTTGAATAAGAATCGCTTCAGGGGACTGCTGGTGCGGCGTAGTGTTTGGGCTCAGGGCAGGGCCATTCCGGGGCAACCTTGCTTCCGCACCTTGAGTTAACATAGTGTATGGCCTGACCGTTGAGGGTTGCCACGACTGGTACCGGCCACTGCACTCGTCAAGTGCTTATCATCACCAGCCTTCCTAACTTCTAGCAAACAGCAGCAGCCGTCTATGAAGGAAGAGCTGGGATGTTTCAGTGGGATGGTGCCAGAACAAAAACCAGCTGATGTTCAAACCTTAAGCACACAGGTCCTTTCCGTGGTTGGCATGCTGGCCCTGAATGCGCTGTTCTTGGAAGTGAACTGGAACATCATAACATCCGATGAGGACTACGTGCCCTTCCCAGCCGCCTGGTTTCAAATTATACGTGCGCTTCGCGCCTTGCTGTCGCTGTCAGTGTTCGTAAGAGGTGGGCTAATGACTCTTTGAATAAACCTCAGCACAGGGCTACCTTCGTCTCCACGCAGTCGAAATTCGCTAAGCTCCCATGCTGGCCTGAGTCCAGGTGCACAAGGTCCGCATCACGCAGTGGTGGAAGCTGAATCAGAACTGGGAGGTCACAACCCTTTTCTTCACGTGCCTTGTCCAACATTGTATTGATTTTCTGGTGCGCATGTCAAGCTGGCGCTGCTGGTGCTGCCGTTGCCTATCATGGTGCAGGTGAGTTTGTCAGAGGTGTGTTGACCAGGGCAGGGTGCCAAACCAAGGTACACTTTTCAGCTCTTCTGGTCTGCAGTGGTGTACTCGTTCGGAGATGTTTTCCGGCTCCCCTGGTACACGAACTTGGCAGTCTGGCTTGCACTGATGCAGCACCCTCTGTATGCACAACTATACGTTTCATATGCTGCAAAAGTTTGATTGAACCTATCCTGATAGCTCCAGCAGCAAGTTGCATAGATCATGAAAAGTCGTACAACTTGAGAAAGCATGCGCGCAGCAATTACGATCGCAGAAGGAAAATTCAACTCATCCAAGGTCCTGATGGCCGTTGGCTTAGACCCAGGGCCGTGTCAGCAGTTGCACTTCTCGTTGCGCACCCTTAAGAGTTCGTGCGATGCTATTCATGCTAGTGAAAACCATTTGTGACAAAGTCTCTTGCCATTGTGGTGGGTCATTTATTCAGATGATTACCCAGATTATTAAAACAAAGGGAGTCCTGGTCAGCTGTGGGAACTGCGGCCTCTCTCGTTGCTTTGGCCTTATCAGGCTTGCGACGGCAAAATCCACCGGCAGAAGGGAAGTAGAAAAAGTAGCATCCAAAGCTTTTCCACGCTTCCACAAGTGCAGACGGACCAATTGTAGGATTGCATGTGGGGTCCGAAGACCGTACGCCTATTAGCCATGGTTGGCATGGTCCACGAGATTTGGGAAGCACAGGCTGCTAGATCCTTGGTAACGCAAAATTCTTCAACCACAAATTCATGGCGTATACTTCTGGGGGCTTTGCAACCTGGCGCCCAGTGGTCACTGTACCCTGCATGACAGCCTGAACAGACCCTGCGATGACTTGCTTTCTCACATCCAGGGAAGTTGAAATCTGAAACAGAGCGTTGCAATGAGGCCTTAGTCGCCGTGAATTTGGGGTTCCTGAGACTCGGCTTTGAAGCGTCGTTTTTGTTTAGAAGAGCAGTACAAGAAGCAAAAGTAGTAGCAGCAGTAGTAGTCGTCGTCGTCGTCTTCGTCTTCGTGGTCGTGGTGGTCGTGGTGGTGGTGGTGGCGGCGGCGGCGGCGGCGGCGGCGGCGGCGGCGTCGTCGTCGTCGTCGTCGTAGTAGTAGTAGTAGTAACAATACACACTGGCGTCCTCATGGAAACTTTTCATTCATCTGTATAGCAAGAAGGCAAGCTTTTGTTGCATTAGTACCCTTGGATGTATTTGTCACAACTCTTGCGTGTGCCCTTCCCATGCCAGTGTTCATGTGCATCCAGCCCAGAAAACATCTAGCCTTCCTGCCTGTTTTCCACATGACTTCAATGCAGGCTTTTCGGTGTGTGTTTTAACTGATGCGTGGTCGGGGCAGCATATGCCAGATACCTGTGCTTTGTGTAGGCCTCAAAGAAGATCCGATCCCCAGCGCTACCTTCCTCAAATGCTGAGTCTTCAGCTTTGCCATTTCTAAGACGGGATTGGTACAGAGAAGATGTGGGGCCGCTCTTCAGGATCTGTCCCTTTGTGCCAGTGCGCGCAGCTGTGCCATCTGATGCTGGACTCTTGCCGCACTCCCAAGGACGTTCTTACTCTTGAGCAGCCCCAACTGGATGACGCGCTTGTTCAAGCTTGTCTTCGAGGACTCGCTAGTGTCAAAGGGCTGCTGTTTGGCATCCGAGGGCATTGCCTGACTCACTTGAGAAACCAACTCGACAAGATGGGGTTCCAAACGCAACTGGTTGCCTGGCTCGTCTTATAGCCAAGAAGTCTCCGTCAAGCTGTCTGCTACCAGGACATCACAGACAATGATCCATGGACTCCAGAGGAGCACTTGGGCTTCTGATTTTTCCCCGTATCAGGAGCTCTCGTACTCGCAAGACTTGCATGAATGCACTCAAAGCTTGAGTTGTTGAACCGAAAGCTTGGCACCGCAAACTCCAGTGCCAAGGTACTGTCCAGCCATGCCACGACCAGTGCGATACCACCTGCTTCTGGTGATTATGTGCAACCTTACGTGCACAGCTTTCCTGGAGAAGGCGCTTCTTCTGACCGGAGGGCGTAGGGAATGCAAGAAGGATTCAATCAACCACATCAGGTTTACGTGTTTTCTGAGCACTGCGGGATCCTGTGACGCGTAGTGCATTGAAGCATGACATTGGGCCCAGGTGATCATCCAAGGTCGGGTTGGTGACTACATGCGGCTGTGGGGCCGCGCCTTGCTACTATTACAACAAGATGAAGAGTGTCTGCAGCATTTTTTGAAAGGTTGTGATGTGAGTATGCTGGTCACCCAGGTGCGCTCTCAAAGCACGTCACACTGCGTTTGTGAAGAGTGCGACAGGGCCTGTGGGCATCGTCGTGCTCAGAAGTCTTTTTCGTGGGGTTTCCAGATTGTGAACTAGCTGGTGCGGAACTGATCTACAACGGCACAGGCTGTGAAACCCCACACATCTCACAGCTGTGAGGGCCAAATTGTTTACGTCATTGCTCCGTCAGCTACAGCAGCGAATGGGGGAGCAGTGCATCCTCGGCCTTTGTTCCAGTTTCCTGCTGTAGTCCGGTGCATGTGCCAATCGCACGTTCCAATCAGTGCTGCAGCCTTGTGGTCCTGGCGCACCCTGTAGAGGATTGCGCTGAAAAACACCTAGTCAGAACTTTGCGCCCCTCCACGCTTCAATTATCAATTTAGATACATTTAGCAGTAGGATCCTCAAAGCAAGGTACCTCCCGCAGAGGGCCGTGCCCTGAGCATATCGTGAGCTATCTATCTTTCTGCAGAAAGCTCCGCAAGGTCGCACTGGTCACCTCAGCGCAATCCCCAGATAACGGATAACACTTTAGACGGAGACCCGCTAGAGCCTGTGCTTGGAGGTCCGCACATGTCCGCACCCATCCTGCAAGCTCGCCTTCCCGTACAAGGGCTAATCACCTCAGTTTAGTTTCACAGTCAATTAGCAAGTTCCGACCTCCCAAGCAGATGAGATCCCGCATTGCTTGCTCAGCTGGCGTCCTCGTGGCACAGACATGGAATAAAAGAAGTTCTGCTGCCGGTCAATCGAAAACAAGAATTCTCCGCTTAACTTGCAAGTGCAGGGAACTAAGTTTTCGAGAACATGGCCGCTTCCAGAGTCGAGTTTTCTTGGACCATACCTTATCAGGTTTCTGTACACAATTTACGTCATGCCAGCAATAAGTTGGATGAGAAGCAATCCGGATTTGATACGTCTGTCCGTCCAGCCTGCGACCAACTGCTCCAGAAGTTCTTGCATGCTAGAGAAGTACGCCCCAACCATGCACCCTTCACAGAATCCTGTGAAAGCCAAACAAGGCTGGTGCACTGAATCCCTGCAAGAATCCCTGTAAGTTAGCCTGTGCAACGAAACGCTGAACTCAGAATCCTTCAGCGGAAACCTCAGGGTTCAGGACTAAGACAAGCAGTTTCTGATCGCGGTCCTAGTCTACTCCCGCATAAGCCCTGATGAGGAAGATTGAGAACATCGGTACAGTATTGCAAAGCTTGTGACAGCAATGCTGTTGTGAAGTCTCTGTCTGATTGTGACTCCTCTGGGTGCAGTTCACTAAGAAAAAGAACACAAAAACAACAAACGGAAACCCGAACCGTATGTCCAAAGTTAAATGCTGAGCCCCACATCCTGAACACCCTGCACACCTTGAACCCTGGCCAGGCCTACTCCTGGGCCGTGCTGCAGTCGGGCAAGGACTTGGTAGGTGTCGGGCTTAGCCGTGGTCATGTCGCTCAGGTTTGATGGCTTCCCTACGTAAGGGGCCTTTATGCTAAACCCTTCATGCGGGGATGAGCCTCTTTTTGTGATCTTTAAGAGACTCCTGGCAGGATCCCCAGAAAAGGGTTCCTGACATGAGTTCAGGTCGTGGATTTCAAGCTAACATGCCCATCTTTGTGGTTCAGGTAGACAAAACAAGAGGAATCCAGTAAGCTTACCATGGCCTTGAGAGACTTGACATGCCATATACTTCAGCGTGATTACAGAAAGTCCATTTTCAGTCATCCCGGACTTCGTTGGATACGAAGGAACCTTCAAGCCAGCTTCTTCAATCCTCGAACAGCAGCTGCATAGGAATCAACAAGACTAAGAGCGTTACTGCCAGAGATCTTTCCGGAAGATTGATCAAACTATCTGACACGGGAATGCCAGGGGTACGTGGGTAGTTCTGGTCTTTTGGGATGGTTCCTCATGGGCCGAATCCAATTCTCAGGAGAGTTTTAGATGTTTCGGCCTGTCCTTGTCCTTGTCCTTACATGGCCCCCCAATATAGCCTTGCAAAGACATCTTCAACAAAACGCTGCTTTGCAGACATATCGTCGTTGCACGGGCCCTCTCGAATCCCAAAGACACCTGCCTACACCTCAAGCCCCACCGTAGCTCCTCAAGATGCTTTATATAACCGCTATATGAGCTATACTCTAAACTCTTTAAAGGGGATTATATAGGGGAGTATTATAGGGGTTATTAAGGGGGATGCTAAGAGTTTAGACGATAGCTCATGAAACGCCAGTTTCCATGTCATTCTTAATTTTCTTTTCCATTTGATTCTCCATTCTCGGGGATCATATCCCTAAACCCTAAACCCTATATACCCCTTTATAAAACCCCTGTGGGCAAGCTGCCAGTTCTGCTTTGGCAAGGCGTTGCGAAGACGGGCTCGGGTAAGACCCTGGCCTTTCTTCTGCCGGGCTTTGTCAAGCTCAGGTGGCCAGCTGGATTTTCATTGGTGTTACATTGGGGTGGGGGCAAGGGTGCTGGAGGCCAGTGGCTACGTCAAAAAATGATAGCGCGCTCCGGTCGCACATTCAGAATTCCTCAAATCCTGTAGGTAAAGGAGCCTGAAGTCAAAATACTGAAGATTACCTCTCTAGGCATTTTGCGTTAGGCGAAGGTGTTTTTGTGTTCAAAATTCCTGAACATGTGAAGTTTTTGTGATCTCCGCCCAAGGATGAGAAAGATATGTGGCATGTGTGTGTGTCTGCGTGAGCCTGGTGAAGGTATCTGTTGTTTTCTGTTGAATGCCAGGAAGCTCAAGAAGTCCCAAGAAGTCGATACCAAGAAGGGGTGAGGGCCCCAGATGATACCCGAACCCCGCCTCCTTCGGGTCGCAGCCTGACTGGCGTGGAAGGGCCCCAGATGATTGACAACTGCTCCGCAGCCAGCAGATTGTGGCAGGTATTGTCCTGTCCCATTTGCAAGTATCGCTGGGCTTACCGTGATTTTGAGTATTACAAACACACATGATTAGTGCTTGTCTCGTAGTATGACTGTGCCGTGTTTTTGTCGAGCCATCTTTAATCCTAATGTTGTTCTCGCCGACAGATTATGGGACGCGAAATGCAATATGCGCAGGATGCGATGAGAATTGATTTCTGTGAGGACACCTGCAGGTTTAGGTCTCCAGGCAAAGGGGCCTGTTTCCGCTCATCATGTCTGGGAGGGATATCGAAGCTTGAATATGGTTCGATGTTGTCCGCGCTGAAACAGGAACTGGTTACAAAAACATTTCATGTACGTTACTTCCTGACAACAACGCTGATTAATTTTGCAGAGAAGCGTGTCACCGCACTTTCAAATCAGCCTGAGCGACAGCATAAAGCTACTTGAAAGGCTCATTGCTCATGTGAAGCGTCGAAAGTACTGCTGGGCACGTCGATTTGCGGAACAAGCTTAACAATCTTCACGTGGGCCCCAAACCTGCATATCCTCAGATATAGGCTACACCCCTTAAGACCCTGAATCCTAAACCCTTGCCATCCCTAAACTTAATCCTTCTTCAAACTTCAAACCCCCAAAAAAGATCCACAAGGCCAGCGCTCCTGTGCATGACGCCGACGCGGGAGCTGTCTCCCGGCTTGTGCAAAGCAATGCTTTCGCGTGCTTTCGCTTCCCAAATTGACATGGAATCTCACAAGGGTCTTCTGAAAGCAGTTATTGTACTACAAAGGGGCTCAAGGTCTATAATGGTCTCTGTGGGGTTCCATGTTCGTTTGGGGGATGGCTTCTCCTCTCTGACTACTTTCCTCACAGGCCCTCACCTCTAGGAGCCGAAGTCCGTGGGCATTGCTCAAGAGACGTTTGGACTTATGTGGATCATGATTTGTTTTATGATAGGCCATCCTGGCTTAAAGCTTCCGAGCACAAAAAATGCTCGGCAACCCCAAGCCCACCTCCAACCCCCAACTCCAAACTCCCCCAAACCCACAGACCCAAGCCGCAAACCCAAAAATCTAGTGTGAAACCACCCTAAGCTGTACACACTCCTGGAGTTTTGGGTCCAACTTTCGGAAACCGGCGCTGTTGCAGGGCAAATCTGAGGTACCAATCTCTTCTCCCCACACCCAAAAGATCCAGAAACCAGATTGTTAAGATGAGGCGCTGTCAAGATTTCAAGAGACAAAAGCTTTTCATAGACCCAGGTGCCACCAGATATATTCTGACGCAGAGAAGTTCGGCGGCCCTGTCCTGCCCTGAGGAGCGCACACACAAACACACCCTTCACAAGATTTTTTCGCCGCTTGTCTATGGATTTTTTGATTTTGCTTTTGGATTTTGATGCTGCTTACTCGGATTTTCGTTTAACTTCACACGTAGTAGCTTACATGTTCTTTCCCTTCATCACGGAAAAGCACTGGCTGCTACTATGTAAGACTGCAATTCGATTTTCCATGGCCAGAAACCATGAGACTTTGCACCAGCTTCCGTTTCCTTTTCCATGAAAGGTTCAACGTCTACAGTCTAAGGTGCCAGATAGAAACACATCAATCAAGAGCTAGGTGGGAAGAGGAGGAATGGTAGTACTAGCGTCAGTATTGTAGTACAACAACTAATACACTGCTGTACTGCCTCCGTGCTACTGTATTGCCACCGTACTATGGTACTGCTACTGTACCGCTCTACTACTGCCCCACCACTTCTGCTACTAGTAGTGTTGGTAGTAGAAGTAATGGAAGAAGTAGTAGTAGCAGTAGTAGTAGCACTAGAAGCAGTTGTACTACTGCCACACCACTTCGATTATTTCTGCTACCATTGTTACTACTGTATGACTACTAAACTGCGACCATGCCTGCTCTTCGGAGAGTCGGGCTTCTAGCTCACATAGAACCTGGCACCCCAGGTTCAAATAACAGCTGCGTGTGCTTATGGCGGCGCCAACCGCAAGGATCAAGAATGGGCTCGAATCCCAGAGAAGTCGAGGTTTGTCTGCAATGTGCATGGGCCGTCAGACTGCCAATCGAAACCTTTTCTCATGCCTAGGCCATAAATACGGGTCCTGACTGCTTGATCGCCACGCCTGGCCGAC